CGCTGGTTTTCAAAAAAGCATGTTTTCACAAAAAATCATGTTTACGGTCACACGTGTGACATCCATATAATATACGTATATAAAAACATTCACGTATTCGAATGCAACGTTGTGTCAAAATTTCAAAGCAATCGGTGAAGAACTTTCGGAGATTAGCAATTTTGAACAAACAACCATTACATTTTTATTTATATAGATTGCATGGGACAGTTTTTAGCAGAGAAGTTCCTTTCTGGTTATGATATCATAGAAATAATCACAAATTGTACTCTTCACAAAATACACTCGTCTGATCTTTTAACTTTCACTCTAAAACAAGGATGTTTGACCTTAAGCAAAATAATCAGTAGAAAAGGGGGAGAATATAATTTCTGAATAATAGCTTTCAAACTCAAGAGGATAGCTACAATATTAGATGATAACTGCTACATCAGCAATAATCATAATCATAAAGCACAAGTACAAAAATACACTTATAAAGCTGTAGTTGTAAGTACAGCTCTAGCTTACTTAAATCAATGAATATGTCACTTTTTGCTCTTCAATAGGATGGATACATTGATTTTATGGAGTATGTGGCAGCTCTAAGCTTGGTTCTGAAAGGGAAAGTGGAACAGAAATTGAAGTGGTACTTCAAGCTGTATGATGTCGATGGGAATGGCTGTATTGACAGAGATGAGTTGTTAAACATCATTAAGGTAAATTATTTTCTTCAATCTTTTCTTCAGTCAATTATGCTTTTCATTATGTATGGCTGATACATCCAGACATTGCCTTTGACAAGTAAGATGCAAAAAAAATTAAGTTTCACCCACACTATATGTGCCATATATGTCTACTACTTATGTACAGGAAAATGAGGGGAGAAACTGTAATATATTCAATGTAGAGGATGCTATATTTATAATGGAGATGGGCTTAAACTCTACATAATATCCCTTGGTCAAGTCAGCTAATCTAGCAATCTTATTAAGCACTGATAATTGGCAACATATAATTGTCATGATAATTCAAGAGACTTTAGTAGTATCAACAGTCCTTGAAACCTACTATTCAATCTTCTCTGATCATTAATAGAAGCAGGAAGACTTGGATGCTATTTTTGGTTATTCTCACCCTCCAAAAAACAGCAATCAGAATAATAATTGCTAGAATTTCATATGGTAATGAACATTCCCTCTGCAGTGAGGTTAGTCCCATATCTCTTAGCCTTCTAGAAACTCTTCCTTAAAACATATTTTTTCCAGCAATCTTCGGGAACCCTTGGGGATCTTGCAAAGTGATTATTATTATTATTTATGAAAAATATTTTCAAAGCAACTCTAGGTAGAATGTATCATGTAATTTGATTAGTATTCTCCTGTATTCTTGTTTTTTCTGTTTTTTTCTGTTTTTGTAATGTTACAATGGTTATACATTGCCCAGACTCATGTAATCTGAGGAGATCAGCTATATACATTTGCTGAATAAAAATAAATAAATAAATTACCACCAGACCAATGTCTGCTAGAGGAGAACCACTTTGTGCTGGAGTAGGAGACAAATGGATCACCTCAAAGTGATTAAATCATTAAATCAATAGGTCAAGAGCTAGAGTGACTATGGCGACAGGCAGACTATCTCCTATTTCTCATTTGGTGCAGGCAAAGTGCTTAAAGAGATTACTCAACCTCTCCAAGACCAATGCACAAGCAGAAAGCAAAAAGACTGGGTGGATGGATGTATAGACAAAAAACTGGGTGGATTAGAACTAACAAATATATAAAAATATCATCTGATTTTCACATTTTAAAATCACAAATTAATTTGTACCGTAATTCATTCCTATTGGAAAATACTGCATTTATGTGAGAATTTGTTGATTTTCTTTTTTAAAAAAGTCATACATATTCAAATTGTTCACAGGTAGGGAAATTGAATGTAGACTTTTAAAGATGTTTTATATGTTTATATATTTATTTCCAGGCCATTCGCACCATTAACCCATGTCAAGAAGTCATGTCAGCTGAGGAATTCACAGATATGGTGTTCAATAAAATTGATGTAAATGGAGATGGTAAGAAACTTTTCTATCTGTGCTGAGATATTACTAGTTTGATGCAATCCAATAGTATATAATGATATCTGAGTAGGAAAAAGGTTAAAACTGACAATTTGTCAATGTTCAGAATGTACTGGATGCTATCCCATTTCTTTTGGGCTAGATAAACTTAACTGAATCTAGCTAAACTGTTAACAATTCTACCTGCATTTTCTTATGCAAAAGTAAGAAAATGGAAAGTGGAATGAAACCCATATGCCCATCCCATACATTCAGCTATCTGCTTCAGTTCTGAGTCTTGCATTTATCCACAAAGAGAAACTTGGACAGGCTTTATAGTCTGATGTCAGCCTTTGATGCAGGCTAGATCAAGAAACGGGCATGGCAGCGATTTCAGGAATGCTTGTTTTGTTGTAAGATAGGATAACAGAATCTTGAAAGCTGTCCAAGTTTCTCCCTGTCCCATCTTATACTATATACAATCAAGGTAGGGTTGCTTTGAGTTTCTTTCTCATGTTCTCCTCTTTCTCAAGATTGAAGAAATGTAATTGTTTGTTCATTTTTTCTCTTGATTCCTTGGCAAATATTGGTGGATTTGAATTTGCTTGCTTAGTCCATCAAACTTTTTAATGTCCTTACAGAAATGGGAATTTTGTATTTGTCAAAAGCATAAAAAAAGGCTATGTGTCTCCCCCCCCCCCTCAAAAAAAAGTAACCAGAATTAAGCATTGGGGATGATGCAGTTAGTACTAACTGGATATCCATGTGTTGTATTGTTCACAAAATCAGCTCTCAATCATTTCAGCAGGCGGTACGTGAACCAAATTTTCTTGTTTGTTTCTACAGGTGATTTGTCTCTTGAAGAATTTATAGATGGAGTACAGAAAGATGAAGTTCTACTTGACATACTCACCCGTAGTTTAGACCTGAAACATATCTTTGATAAGATCCAGAATGATGGAAAGAACCCAGAAACAACTGGAGAACCCACAAAAAATGAATAGGCAAATTATTGTTTTTTAAAGAAAAATGTAATATTACAAGAACAAAAACTCAACACTAAAAATTGTAACAACTTAGAATATCTGTGTTGTATGTAAAAGAGGTACTGTCTATTATGAACACACTGAATAATTGTTATCACCAATTGTTGAAGACATCAGGTTGGCCTAGAAATTTAAGGCAATTGTCAGTGCTTCTGGGTCAGAGGAACACATACAATGGAAGAAGATCCTTAGTTTATTTGGTCTTTAAAGTGTCAGTGAGGAAGGTAAGTATAAGAGGGTATTCTGAGATGGATCCACCTTATATCGCCTTATATCATTTTGACTGCTTCTTGTGGTTGCTTCTTATGGTGAGCACACAAGTCAGAAGAGAATTAAATTAAGGAAAGTTGAAAAATACAGCTTTGGATAGAATATCTATTTTTTGATAATCCTAAGAAGTAGTGGAACTAAATGGCATCCAAGATTATCTTCCACTTATTGAATATCTAAAAAATGGTTGCTTAAAATCAGTGCTACAAATCCCATTTACTCAAATTGATCTTGAGTCTGCAAGTCTGTTACAATCCTTTGATATAAGCCTTTTTGCATATTCAGAAGTTCTTTTTAATACATGAATGATATTGGCCAAAGAACAATATTTTGGCTTTATATATGTAGCACATGTCGTTTAAAGATGAAGTGTTATTTTTTACTATAGCAAATGTTGCTCATATAAGAATATGCTTTTTTCATCAAATAATCCATCTTTTGATTTGAGTTCTCCATATGTGCAAACCGTATTTTGTTTCCCTAAAACAATTCTGTATTCTTTTTTAAAAAAAACATGAGACTTATTAATTATTTCTCTTAAGTATTTTTTATGGGAATTGAAGCATAGTTTAAGTTTAGCTAGTAGCAGATTGGCACTCAAGTTCAGGTACATAGAGAAAAGCCCCAGATGCTAAAATCTTTTGTAAACTGATTAAGCTTTTAATTGTATGCATTCATTAGGGATTTTGTAGCCTAAGCATTACAACAACTACAATGGGAAAAAAATACATTCTTAAAAAAATACAGAAAATAGTTGACTTTTGTAAGACAAATTCTGAACATTTGTGACTATATGTTTAACAAAGAAAAATTATGTGAAAGCACCAATATATACTTGACTAGAAAAAAATATATTTCTCTTTTGCTTTGGTGTAGTGGTTAAGGCACCAGGCTTGACAGTTAGAGATAGTGAATTCTACTCCTGCCTTAGCCATGAAAGCCAGCTGGGTGACTTTGGAGCCATTCGTTTTCTCTCAGCCCATCTCACCTCTTACAGTTGTGTGGAAATTAGGAAAAGGAAGGTGTGTTGGATATGTTCACCACTTTGAGTTATTTGTAAAAAATAATAAATGTGGGATATAAGTAACATAAATACAAAAATAAATAAAATATTAAAATTCATAACAGGGGCTCAGAAATCATAAAGTACCTGAAAGTATGAGAAAGTATTTTCTAGTATGAATTACAAAAGCTACAGTACATGCAGAACTCTGCACGGCTCAGTCAAATTTCCGTTGTAAGGTTTAATTGGCCAATCAGTGGTGGCATGAATAAAGATTGAGTTGCAGGTGTCATCTTTGACATGAACAATGGGGCTGAAAATTCCCACACAAAATGAATAAAATTGTGTTGCTGTTTCTTGAGAAAAGTGAGAGAATAAGCAGATTAAGTCACATTATCCTAAAGGGAAGAGGAAAAAAAACTCTAAGGTCTAAATCCATAAATTAGATTTTTGGAGAATAATGCTTGCTTTAAAATCAAACAACAGGAAAGGAAGCAGTATTTCTTTGAATTTTAGCTTCAAAATAAGTACTATGCTATGGTACTTTATTGAAACTGTAATATTCTAAAATACTTGATATAGCAACACATTTATCTTTCTTTATCATTGCCATACCCACTGATAATAGATATAGGCCAGTGGTGGGTTTCAATTTTTAGAACCTCTTCTGTAGGTGTAGCCTGCTTTGTGGGAGTGGTTTGCTGGCCATGTGACTGGGTGAGAGTGGCTTGCCAGCCATTTGACTGGGTGGGAGTGGCTTGCCAGCCATGTGACTGGGTGGGCGTGGCCAACTTGTAAAATGTCGATGCTCTTGCTTAGCAACCAAAATGTTGGCTCAGAAACTCTGGCATTTGAAGCACGCAAGTCTTAAAGCTGTCAAGTTACAAGACCTTTGCACGCCTAACCCTTTAGAAAAAAAAAACCAGGGGTGTTCAAACTTGACAGCTTTAAGACTTGTGGACTTCAATTCCCAGAATTCCTCCTGTCGCTCTTCATCTTGATGATGTGGGGATGGGCGGGGGGAGAGAGCTGGAACTGGTTCTAAACGGCACTGTAGATTTGTGGAACCTCTTCTATAAAAGAGGTTAGAACTGGCAAGAACCCACCCCTGATATAGGCAGATGTGAGAATAATTGAACTGAAACTGGAATTAATAATTTCCTTGCGTTTAAGTATTCTATATTAGATTTATTTATGTAGACTTCTCTACATTCTGTATATATTTCAATTTACATGTCTGATTTATTTTTTTATACATAGTACAATGAAATGACTCATTAAAGTTTCTATTTTATAAAATCATCAGTTTGGGATTTTAATTTTAATTTTTGGAATCAATACTGTATATGCCCCCCCCCTTCCAATTTTCTAAAATGCTTGGTATACAGATGAATTATAGCTGCTGGAAATGGCAACAAATTTGAGTATGGGAGTCAGTCACATTAATGGGACTGGCCTAAAATTTAAGATGGTAGTTATGGCAGGATACTCAAAGCCTCACCTCTTTTGAAGAAGGGGGGGGAGAGGGGAGGGCCAGGGAGAGAGAGAGACTACCTTGTAAGGTAATAGAGAGTCAGCCAGGGTATTAGTGGTTGAGATAAGAAATAGTGAACATGACTTATTGACATACAATATATTCAGATAAACAATTTCATTTGTATTTGCTCACCAAGCTAGCTACTTGTTGGTGGTTAAACAATTTTTTCCATAATCTTGACTGATAAAAACATCTCAAGAATCATAAAATGCTGAAAACCATTTGGCTATTAGTTTATTTGCTTGGAATTATTTTTACCACATGCAGGATTTATTGCTATCATTTATCATCTACATTCCAGTCCTGTTTCCTCATTAGATTGCTCCATAAAACACCAACAGAGATCTTTAGTCTTCAAGATATGTCCCTTAAAATGTGTATTATCTCCAGACCTTACAGCCAGAATTCTATTCCCACTTGTAATCCTTTATAATCTGCTGTCATGATAAAGGCCATTATTCATTGTATGCACTCCTTTAGCATTTGCAGGGGAGGGAAGGAAGGAGAGAGGGAGGGAGAGAAGGAGGAGGGAGGGATTAAAGTTTGTGAAGAATTCAATTTGCAAGGATTTTCATAAAATATCTTTGTGCTTTTTTTTTTTAATCTTATTTTGGTTTCTTTCATAGCCTAGAATACCATCAACTGGCCATTTCTATAATTGCACTCTTTTAACTTATATTCATGTCACAAAAATGTTATGTATTTCTGGTACCAAGACATCTTTCATACTCAAGTTTTGTTAAACCTTTATCAGAATAGAGAGTCAACATGTCCAGCATTCTCTATTCACTTAGCCAGTTCTTTATAGATGCAAAACCATTATAGTCAGTGAGATTTTAAAAAAAGAAACTTTGATACTGAGTTGTGGACTCTACTTTCTTTACTGGCTCTTCAAGATCTCTTTCTCCCTGCCACTGTAATGAACTTTTATGGAGTTGATAGGCAAAAGTAATATCTTCTGGCAGGTTTGCACTGCTGAGCTATGTTTGGCTTCGGCAAGGCCAGTGATCGGCACTGTTCATCCAAGATGTAATGTGGGGCATTAGCAAAATGATTGGTGTCACCAGTTGGTATGAAAAAACTTCAAAACACTTCATATGGGAGGTGGAAAACTAGATCATTTGTCAAAACTGGCCTTAAACTAGCTAATCCATGGGCTGGGGTGGAGGGGAAGAGACTGCCTTACCAGACAGATTCTATCCTTTCCATATATAAGGAATTGCATCATTTGATCTCAGAGATGATAATAGTGAGTTGCACAGTAAAACAAGTGATGATGTACTGCTTTCCTCAGCGGGACTTTTTCTAGGTTTCTCTTGGGTAGCAAAGTAAAGGTTTGATAGATTTCCAAGAATACAAATGTTTGGAGAGGTAGAATTTCTTGTAGAAAATCTATAAAGCCATTACAGAAGAATTCCAGTGACCGCTGTGTATCAAGCTTTATAGTAAAATCAAAAGAAAAATAATTCTGCCTTTCTCCCACCCAAGCAATTGAATGGGCTAGATTCTTTTTGAGTGACAAGTCCAGTTTCCAAGTATTTCTTGTTTTGTTAATGGACAGATTGGTTATTGGTCCATTAACATGGGTAACATTAACAATTCACCCTCATGGATGAGGGTAAGTGCCTATTTTGTGGTGATGGTGGTGGACAACTTTACAATGAGAACTCACCCTTGTTCCCATTTCTTTTTCTATTTTTTAAACCCCTGGAATTCTTTAGAGGGAGCAGGAAATGGGCCTTTAGCTATCAGTTGTCTCATTCCAGAAACAGGTATCTAAAAAACTGCTTGTCTACCACCACAAATATATAGACATCAGAGGTTTGGAATAAAGATTTCTCAAACTGTATAATTGGGCCATGGGACTATGCATGTAAGCTTTAGGAAATTTTAAATCACCAACTCACTTTTTGAATCCTGTGGCAGGCTTTTCTCTGACACAATCAGATCATTGATTCCATAAAATGCACACTAAGCTTTATTAGATGGAAAGATTTCATGAATTCATAGGAGACAAAGGGAAGCTGTACATCTATACATCTATGGTTGTTTAGCTATTCGTAATATCTGCCTTATTTATAAAATATATTCAAAGTGGCTTCATAAAAACATAAAAACAAAATTAAGATGTTTAGCATGTTCACACAATATCTTAATTATAAAGATTTAAAGGTTTCTCCTATCTAGTTGTGACTGATTCAAGGGGGTGGTGTTCATGTCCGATTCTCAGCTGATGGATCCTGTGTTGTTAGAGAGGTGCTTCCATCATCATGTGGCCAGCATGAAAATATGGAATGCAGTAACCTTTCCCAGTGAAGCAGCACCTGCGCATACTTTCAAACTGCTAGGTTGTTTACTATCTGGGGCAAGTAACAGGCGCTCACCCTTGTTCTTGGGTCTCAAACCCAGGCTGTCAGATTTCCAAACCCACCATCTTAACCACTGAGCCATCACACTGCCTTGTCTTAATTATACAGAAGTATAACTAAATTAAAAGTGAAAAGAATAGCTAAAAGGGAAGAAATGAAACTGAAGCAAAACAAAAGCTAGCCTCCAACCCATTAAGGATGGGAAATTCTTGCACTTAACCACTGCACAATCATGTCATGGCAATTCTTATTGCTTTCCTTTCCTTAATGCTACCTGCATTTTATCTCATGAGTCAGAAACAACCTTGCATTTAGTTGCACTAGTATTAAAGGAATAGTATTTTCTTCTATATTCTGACATTACCCAACAACAGTTTTAAGATGCATAAAATCTATTAATTTATTAATTAACTAGAAGTAAACATGAACAAAAATAATAGAAGCAGAGTTAAGAATTGCTAATGGGGACACAGATGATAGGACTATTTTCCGATTCAAGGATAGGTGGATAGCACTTTAATTCAGTAGTGGAAATGAGCCTGTAGAAAATTGAAGGCATTACTTGTTTTATTTGTTACATTTGTTTGTCACCCGTCTTGCTGTGAGGCAATTCTGGGGGAACTTGGAAATTGTCTGTAGGAGGAAAACAATTGGTCTTGTAGACTTCTGACGAATATACAGTATTCTAGAAGAGGATAAGGCTGGCTGGATCTCTGAAAAGAAGTCATACCTATGATGACTTAAAGGGTCTCACCCATCCTTGAGTTGGAAGAAAACTATTCCAAAATAAAATGTTCTTTCTCCCATCTTTGACATAAACTTCCTATGCAAAGCACTAACAACTCCTCTTGTACCACAAAAATGAAGCTGGCTAATAAACAAAAGAGAGAAATAATGACATAGCAGAGGTGTAGCTAAGAAATTAAGACTTTGGGTTTGGTCTCCCTTTTCAACTTTCCCCATCCCTGCCCAGTATGAGCTGCCAGGACTGTTGGGCATGTTAAGCACATGGAACACCTAGATTGTGCGGGAGATAAAATGTTTATTTCATTTTGGGAAATCAATATGTTTTCTCAAAGATTACATGGCATTGTCTATATGAGATCTATGTGAAACCATAATCATAGAACTGTTTCCTGGCACACAAGTAGCTATTACAATCAAGGAAAGATAATTGAAAAGATAATCAAGGAACGGATTAGCGAACACCTAGAAGTAAGCAAAGTAATAGCCAAAAGCCAACATGGGGTTGTCAAAAACAGGTCATGCCAGACTAATCTTATTGCATTCTTTGATAATGTGACAAAATTAGTGGACCAGAGGAATGCCGTCGATATAGTTTACTTGGACTTCAGTAAGGCATTTGATAAGGTAGACCATAACCTACTACTAGATAAAGTAGAAGAATGTGGGTTAGACAGCATCACCACCAGATGGATTTGTAACTGGCTGACCAACTACACTCAAAATGTAGTCCTCAATGGAACTGCATGGAGGGAAGTATGCAGTGGAGTACCCCAAGGCTCTGTTTTGGGCCCAGTACTCTTCAACATCTTCATCAATGATTTGGATGAGGGAATAAATGGGAAACTCATCAAATTTGCCAATGACACCAAGCTGGCAGGAATAGCCAACACTCCAGAAGATAGGCTAAAGATACAGAAGGATCTTGATAAACTTGAACATTGGGCACTTCCAACTCTGTTATTGTATTGTATTATTGTATTAAGGAGTTAAATTTTTCTGGCACTGGAATAATAATAAAAAAGCATTAACGCATAGAATGAACCTACATCCTTATTTCTATATGGGATATCTCACAAAAAAGAGTATATATCAAGGATTTTTGGGAGGGACACAAAAAGGTATGACACTCAAAAGTGTATTTTGATGTTGCCATGGGACAAAAGTCCAAATCTAAGTCACACACATTTTTAGATTCTAACTTTTACCTAGCATTAATGCAGGTATTGACTGCAGATAAATTATTAATTTGCAGAATTTCTTTTACCTAATTACTATAGTAACAATATTGAGAATGTTAAGTTGATAAGGTACAGATCTACCAACTTCACTCAAAGTAGTGACTATGCACATATATTGGACCTGTGGATTTTTTGTGAAGAAGTTACAATTGAAGATAAAATTTGGGGGAAGCAGAACTGGAACATAATTTTTTTTATCAGGGTTCTCTCCAGCAAGTGATTGAAGAAATTGCCCCATTAAATATCTTCTTCTCATCTCCAAGTTGATCAGAAAGACCAAAATCAAAGGTAGATGAAGTGATCCTTAACTATAAATCCATTGCAGCTTATGAAGTTCAGCAAAATTTTGCAGCTTTGCAGCTTTAATATTACACAAAATATTAAGATATTAGTGTAACATTTTAAAGCTCCTATGCATAAGAAAAATCGTATGCTGTACTCCTCATCTGATATTTTTGACAACTTTAAAAAATAAGTGTGCCATTGGTTGAACCTGTGATCATAACATTCTAAGATCAGGGGACCATTCTTTTCTGAGCAGCAGGGACCAAAGGAAACTTATGAAAACTCTTTTCTTTTTCTAAGCCAGTTCTAGAAAACATGGTTAACACATAGCTAACTTACTGGAAGGGCTGTGTTGTCATCTTTTCTGACCTACATTCAAGACTAGTATTTACTATTGCTGCTGAGAGACCTTAGTTCACTGAAATCAAATTATTTCAATACTCCAAATGATTTTTGCATTTTTCTGCGGAGAATTTCACCCATTCCATGGATCATCTACAAAAATCAGCGTGCTGAAGAGAATGTCAATTGTATCTACTGATGCTGTTTTGGGCTACATTCACATTGAATGGTTGAGTTTGCTCTAAATGATAAGCTACAGTATATCTCACTTGTTTATAAGTCAATATATTGTGCAAACCAGATAGTTTGCAAACCCTCGCCACTGGATTATTTGCTTCTCCCCATAAGATTACAAAACTTTAGCTTTTTCCTGATGTGCTAATTTTAGCTATATATGGACCTGTTTGACAGAACATTTGATCATATGATACCACTTGCTGTGTGAAATATATAGGCCAGGCATTATTTTTAAGCATGTCATCTTTTTCTGATAACTAAGTCTGGGGTAAGAAGTAAGCAATATGAGGTAGTTGCTAGTATCCTGAGTTGTGAGTTGGATCTTTTGCCAACACTGTCAATAGCCTAAAATCAGCTATAGCCACCCAAATAGTCATCATCCCTACATTTCAGGTGGGTTTTTAATTTTTCCCCCCAAATTACCATGACATAGCAATTGTTCCATGGCAGTGGCCTAGATGAACAGCAGAATAATTTAAAAAGCAGCATTATATTGTTTTTCCCCCTAGAGCTCAGCCTGCTGCTATCAAGGAAAAACAGAATGAAGGACAAGGAATACTTTTTTTTCTCATTACACTTTTGAAATAATACAAGCAATGATTAGGCCTCTGAAGTTTTTCTTTTCTGATTGGCAAGCCATCCACCTGGGCTTACATTGATCTGTAGCATCTTCATTACCCACTTATCTCTTCGTGCTCCATCTAGGAATTCGTCCAGAGATAAATGTCCTAAAGAATCAATGGCAAGAAAGAAATCATAGTGTGTTAAAAAAAATGGGGGAGATTCAATCCCACTAGTCAACTCCCATCTTCCTTTTTCATTGGACTATAAAGAAGAGCAGGAAATGTACTAACAGATCAAAATGTTGCTTCTTTGATTGAGAACAGATGGAAACCTTTATATTTTCCTCAACTAGGGCAGTGATATACAAGAACAATTAACTAAGGCAGAGTTACTTGGAAAGTCTGATTTGGAATTTCAGAAACATAATTTTGCTTGGATAGTAGATAGCGGTCACCTACCCCTCATAAATATTTAAAGAAGTCAGGAAATCTTGGAGCAAATTTGGAAAGGACAAACCAGATAATGCAATATTTAGGTGCTTTGGAGAAAAGAATTATTCTGGAAAGTATTCACCACAATATTATATAGAAATCAAGGTGAATGAGTCACAATCTGGGAAACTGACTTCCTTTTCCCTGCCTTCCACCTCTGCTGTATAGTAGAAATAATGAATCTGGGTGTCTATTAGAGAACGAGAAAGAGAAAGCTTAAATTTCCAATCAGTAACATTATGGAATGTGTGGTCACTCCCTTGAGCTGATGTGAACATCAGATAGCTTTGCCACATGCTTGTTTAAACATTATTCAAATACTGTTATCACTCCTCAAGTTTTTGAAAAATAAAAATGGAAAAAATCTGTAATTAAATAATTCAAATATTGTTGTTTTTTGTAAAAAAGAAAAGCACTCAACATGAGTGTGCTCCTAGGATTCCTCATTGACCACATCACTGTCACTTGGCAAATCAATAACTGTTAAAATGTCAGTAAAAATATCCATATTTTAAAGGACATGGATTAAATCTGTGTATTCCTTGTATAGGCAATCTGTTGCCACCAGAAATGTTGAGATGTAATTCCCAATGGACTTGTACTGAACTAGGGGTGGGATTGAAATTTTTTAGCAACCAGGTCTCTGCCTGGTTGCTGGGTAGATGTGGCCATGGGGGTGTGGCCTTTTCAGCTTCCTGCACCATGGAGGAGGGGCATTTTCACCCTCTCCAGGCTCTGGAGGCATTCCTAGAGCCTCCAGGATGGCAAAAATGGCTTCCCCCAGGTTCCAGAGATTGGAAACAGGCCCATTTCTTGACTTCTGGAACTTCAGAGAGGTCCATTTTTGACCTTCCCGGAGTCTCTGCGTGGGCCCTGCACTTACTTGATATCCAAAACAGCTGTGTGGAGACTTCTGGGAGGGGCAGGGTGGGCGGGGTCAGCCAGTTCTTGCAACTACCAGATTAAAATTAACATCCGGTTTTCCCAAAACCAGTCCGAATTGACTGAATCCCACTCCTGTACTGAGCCATGATGTTTTGGGAAGTTTTGCATTACAAAAGACCTAGAAGGGCATCACATTACCAATGATAATTTCAAATAAGACATCAATGTGGCTTCAAATCAAGTTATTACCATCTCCATTCTCATCTACGAGTTGAAATATTCTTTCCACAACCTCTTCTGGGGTAAGACCAGGAACAGCTCTTTCTTCTTCAGACTTGTATGCTTCCTTAATGCTATATATAGCCTGGGGGGAAAAACTATAGTATTAAGTGGGAGTCACATAATAAAGCATATGTAAACCTCTGAGATAGATGTACATATAAATTTGATGACTAGCTTAATCAAGTGTTTGCAAAGTTAAATATAACAAAAGAAACATTTCAGAAAATGTATAGGATGAGTGATGTCGACTGTTTCTCTATGGAGTCCTAGTGCTGTATCAGATACAATGCATTCTGCAGGCATTTTGCATTCTTATTACAAATTTATGAAAGAAACAATTGGAAAACTACAATGAAACATGCATTAGCTATGTTATCTATAACCCAGGATTTCAGGTTTGTTCTGAAAACAACAACAACTAATATACATATTTTCTCATATTCCATTTTTTTCTGAGGAGAAGGTAAAATTAAACAGGAAGAAATAATTTGTTGTCTTAGTGGAACCTGTCTGTTTGCTCTTAAATAAACTGGGAACATAAGTCAACAAAGAGTTGTTAACCTCCATTCTCTTTCTTTCATGTGTTCCTAAATGTCTGCTTAAAATGTAAGGAGAAAAAAAATCCTCTATTCATCTTCCTTCTTTCTTTTAAAGGGATTGTCTGTTGTGGAGACTATATTTTTTTAAAAAGAATAAATTTTAGATGAAAAAAGAATGTTCAGTGAAAACATCACACATTTCTACTTACTTCAATTATTTCTAGGAGTTCAGGTCTCTCTATGCAGCCATTTCCATCTTTATCATATATTTTGAATGTCCATTTCAATTTGTGTTCCAGTTTCCCTCGCAACACCAGATTCAAAGCAGCCACATATTCTAGGAAGTCAATGGTGTTATCCTGGTAATATAAAATAGTCACTTTAATTGTGATCAACTTAGATTTCAACAGCAGTACATTTACTGTTTTGTGCTCTGTCACACAACACACCACTTATAGTCATGAGCTGCCAATGGCTCCTGTGCCTTGTTTTTAATGGACTATGAAGATTGGAGAAGATTCCCCAAAATCAATAGTAAACAGCTGAATTGTGTTTGTACTTCTTTTTTATTTGTACAGGGGTGATAGGAGAGAAGAAAAAACAAGTTAAAAATAAACTTTCAATGAGCTCAAAGCAGTTAATTTGCATGAAAAAGAGAGAAGAAAGGTCTGAAGTGAAACATCCTACCCTTTCTAATGACATAATAATCACATTGCATTTAATTATTTTGGCATTAATGAATCATACTGTACAGGCAATTGTCAATTCAAATCAGATGATTTTATGATTTGTTTTTCTGGAAAAGATATCATCAGGTAAAAGGATTTGCATTCTGGGTAAGTAAATAAGTTGCTAAAAGTGTTGGGAATCACAGGGCACCCAGCGATTGCACATCTATCCAAATTCAAGGCAAGCCACTCAAAATCACTATACTACAAATCTATGCTCCAATTGTAGACTCAGACAATGAGCTTTTTTACAGTGAGCTTTAATGTGCTCTCAAGCAAATGCGAAAAAAGGATTTTTTGTATATTATGGGCGATTTCAATGCAAAGGTAAGCCAAGGAGAAGTTGCAAGAATAGTAGACAAGTTTGGGCTAAGTGAACAAAATGAAGCTGGCAATTGCAATTTTGTCAACAAAATTATCTCAGCATAATGAACACTTGATTTACACAACACAAGCAACAATTATACACATGGAACAGCACCAAATGGATAACATTAAAATCAAATGTATTTTATACCAATAACACTGGAAACATTCAATTCCATCTGTTAAGATAGTTTCGGTGCTGACTATACACTATCAACTATTAGCGGGTAAACTGAAGCTCAAATTGTACAAAGTGAAAAAAGGTAATATCTCCTCAAATTCAATGTCACAACATCTCACCTATGTATGCCATAGAAGTTAAGAATAGATTTGAGCCACTGAAATTGGAAGGGGAAAACCCCAAATGAACAGTGGTGAGAGATCCAAGGTAACATCATGGAAATTGCTGGAAAGGATGAGTCACGCCAAAACCCAAAGAGAACAAACAAGTGGCTGTGTGATGACACCATTAAACTAGATGATCTGGATGACTGAGAATCTCCATAGACATCTGGTGCATGCTTAGTTAGAGAACCACAGACTGGGTCCACCTATACTATATTGCATTAATATTAAAATGGTTTAAAGGTTTAAAGGTTTATTGCACTTGTATGCCGCCCTATTCCTGGAGGGACTCAGGGCGGCTAACAAACCGAAGGGGAAGGGAATAATACAGACAAAAAACAATAAAAACAAAGAGACAAAATACCAAAACAATTTAAAAACAGCCAACAGCCACACGATTCGAGTGGGGATGGGAACTCATCAGCCCCAGGCCTGTTGGAACAGCCAGGTTTTGACGGCTTTGCGGAAAGCCTGAAGGGTGGTGAGGGTCCGAATCTCCATGGGGAGATCGTTCCAGAGGGCTGGAGCAGCCACAGAGAAGGCCCTCCTCCGGGTGGTCGACAAACGGCATTGGCCGGCGGATGGAATTCGGAGGAGGCCTAGTCTGTGGGATCTAATAGGGCTTTGGGAGGTAATTTGCAGCAGGCGGTCTCTCAAGTACACAGGTCCAATACCATGTAGGGCTTTATAAATGATGACTAGCATCTTGAAACGTATCTGGAGACCGATAGGCAGCCAATGCAGCTCG